TCAATAATGGTACTTATTAAGAATTCTATTTTATAAATCAATATCATGTATATAAAAATATAATAAATAAATGAAAGATTTTAGAAATATTCCAAGATTAAGTATTACATCAGCACTAATATCTTTTAGCCTGTCCAACTCAAGGCAATGAATCTGACATGTTGCATTTATTATACATGTATCTTAAAATTATCTATACACAATATAATTTTAATTAAATCATTTTTCAAATAGATATTTGGTAATAATGCTTAAAGAACAACCAACACTACTCTAATTAAATTACACTTACCTTGTGGTTGCTCCGCCGTTGCCCGAAGCCTCCCAGGCCGCCTTCTCCTCCTCTCAGATTTCTTCATAGCGGTCGCACAATATTCACTCGCGAACACGATTAATTGCCATCGCACGTACATCGATCTCGAGAATACAACGATCGCGCGATACTCTGCACGGCACTCCCGTCGCGTCGTCCCGTCCGCGATCGTTAACTCTTCATAGAAAACAATCACATTTCAAAAGATAATAAAGAGCTGTCGCGATGAACCGTTTCTCGTTACAAAACTCTTTTTCGTTCATCGCGAGTTTTATAAGACCTTCGCTTACTCGTTCACGAGGAATGATCTCGTGTTGCTCGTAATACTCGGCTCGATTGCGCCCCGAAAGACAATAAAAAGTCGTCGCCGTGAACCGTTTCTCATTACGAATCGTAAAAGTTTCTTAATCGTCGCAAATCGCACACGCTTAACACGTTCGCCATCGCTGCTCCGATTGAAAAAACGACCCCCGCGGATGTTATTTTTAATAGTTACGCACAGTATGCCGCGCGTTTTCACGCAAAGATAAATGCACTAAATAGGTTAGGTAAATACCTAAATAGGCAACTGCATGAGTATATAATGCATAAAACGTCATACATGTATAACCGAGTGTATAACGTTATAAAGTTGTGTCACTCACATATCTATAATATGATTTTCTCGTGAGAATCGGTTTCGTCGCACACATGTAACGAACGTGTTAAGAAGCGTTGCTCGTTCGCGAGAAATAATTGCGTTACTCGTAAAACTTGTCGCGATTACACCCCGAGAGATAATAACGCGGAACTGCCTACCTGCGTGCCTGCCCGCTCGAGACTCGAAGCACGAGTGACGAATGACGACACGCGATAACTTTGTGTATACCCGGCGTCCGCGTCGTACGCGAGAGAAAACAAACCACGCGCCGACCGTTGGCGATGTATTATTTTTATTAATTTCGATGTCCGCGTTCCCGTTGAGACGCGTTGTGATACGTTGTAATGCGCACCTGCCGCCAAATGGCGAATGCGTGCTTTTCAACGCCGTAGTGCGTCGATTAGAAATCTTGAACTCATTTATAGCGTTTTCGATTTGCGACTCAAACCGACTCGGGTTGCATCATGTATACAGGACTCTAGCATCATTGACGTGGAATACATACATATCTATGTATGTATTCCACGTCCATTGATGCGACCCGAGTCGGGTCGAGTATAGTAAATCGAAAACGCCATTTAGACACACGTTCGCGTCTGTTCTTTTTCGAAGGCTTACCTGGGGCTCGATTCTTCGAATTCATTCGCAAGAGAGAAACGTATATACGATTCGCGATTAATAAACTTTTACGATTCGTAATGAAATAGAATAGAACGGATCTTGATATTGCGTCATGCAATTACTACAGTTTCGTTAATGTCGGTTCTATAATAAATCGGAGACGGATGTTGGAACGCAGCCGAAGACCGAAGGCCCAATGAGGAGAGAGAATTCATTTTCGAGGAAAAAACTCTCTCATTGAATCGTCGGGTGCGTTCCGAAATCTGACTCCGATATACGATTTATGTATTGTAGAACCGGCCTAAAACATCGCGGGCATCGAAACTAAAAGTATATAATACAACGGTCGGCACGTGTTTTCTTAAACGCTCCTTTTATTCGCGATCATAAATAAATTCCTACAATTTGTAACGAGAAACGAGACCACGATTCGCCGCGATGGCTCTTTATTATCTTTTGAAATGCGCGATCGTTTTCTCTGAAGAGTAAAGCCCGCACACACACTTTTTCGTAACAGTAACAGTAAAGTTCGACCAATCGCGTTGCTCGATTCGGGAACGTACGGCCGTACGTCGATTGGTCGAAACTTTATGCTAAGACTCCATAGACGCGGAAACGCCATGCGGCAGAGTGCGTTGACCAATCACAAATTTTGATTTTACCGCAGGTGACTTGCGGCAGCCTTCTGATTGGTCAACGCACTCTACCGCACGGCGTTTCCGCGTCTATGGAGTCTTAGCATTACTGTTACTGTTACGAAAAAGTGTGTGTCCGGGGCTTTAGCGAGAACGCGGACGGGAATGCCGGCAAAGTGATACGCAGCTCGGAGTTTGTTCTCTCGCGACGATATAGTTACACGCAAAGTCGCGAATTCATCGCACCCGGCGCGGCGCCGTTACACTCGCTCAGGCGGCGCAGGTGGGGGTAGAGGGTAGAGGAGGGCAAGATGACTAGGCATATGACGCACCATCGCACATCGCGCGCGCCGCGTCTAGTCATTTTTCCCCCACTCTATCCCCACCTGCGTGACTCGCCGAGAAGACGCGAACTCATTTGGTACCACTGCGCGAGCTAACACGGACGTCACGGACGCGGCGCGGAACAGACACCTCGATCTAAAGCTGGCGCGTTTCGCGGTTCGCCATTCGTATAGATTCGCCGTTTAACAATGTAGACCCTCCACTATTCATACTTCGTCATATGTTATTCGCGATTTCTCGATTCATCTCTTTGATTTCGTCAAAAAACTGCTCCGCTGGCGAATCGGCGCGAATGGCGAACCACCACGAATCACGAATCAGGATTCGCGCATAGTCTGGCGCCAGCTTCACACGGATCTAACGTGACTCCGAGTTTCGAGCAGGCACAGGTATAGGCAGGTAGTTTTGTGTATCGCTCCGTGTCGTTGCGTTATTAAGTATCTCTCGCAATCTATCGTCGAGATTAAATGAAGCTATAGAGAGAAGAGACACGGCAATAAATAATATCAGTGTTTGTCGTTAGCTTTCAAACAGACACGTAGTAAGTACGGAAAACGCCATCATCCTTTAATATATATTTCCGATTATATCAGTGATTTAAAATGGCGATTCGCGTAGCTCGTGTATCGAGGCTGTTCATCAAATCGCGTGTACGTATTTCGCGCGATTCATAAAGTAAAAGCAAACATCGATACGACGGGGATTGCGTCGCGATATTTATTATTGAGAGATTAATTACTTTTTCGATGCCGCTCGCGTGTTCGCACATATATATTTATCGTCGCGTCTTTAAATTTCTCGTCGTACGGTACCCCAGCGAGAAATGACCCGTCGAATCGACGTCTATCGACGGGTCATTTCTCGCTGGGACTGTCGGAGCATCGCGGATCGAGTTTTCCGAGTCGCGATTAATCTTCTATATTTTTATATTCGTCGACCGTCGCGGCATAAATTCGGTATCTGTTCCGCGTGCGCGCGAGTGTGCGTGTGTGCGTGTACGTATGGTAATTAAAACCCTCTGTACCACCTGAGATACATCCGTCGCAGTAATTTGTGAAACGTCACAGATGTCGGGCGGATCGCGGGTTCGCCATTTCTCGCTCTTTTTTTCGCCGCTCTCTTACGTCACGACGTATACAGCCGGTACATCGCTAAAGTGCGCGCGTCACGTACGATTAACGTCGGGGGTGCCGTTTGAATCGCCGCACGATCGTAATTAACGTACTTTCGCAGGTGTCATGTGAGTGCCACACGAGGGAGCGAGAAGAAACGGAAAAATGAGAGGAGGAGGCGGCCTGGGACGGCGTCGGGCAACGGCGGAGCAGCCTTGCGGTGAGTAGTTTTCGTCGATATACTTGTCACTTGCACGGAGTAAATCGATCGTTTCACACGCGATCGATTATTCTCAGAATTATTAATCCTCTGTCTGTATACGTTTTTTATGCACCCTCGCGGAGCGCATACGCGGACCTGTCACGTACGACGCTATTTTTCTCTACTTCAAAGTATTTAAAAAAAATACTGAAATTTATGAGAAACACCTGTCTGCGCATTGTAGTTGATTTTACAGTCATTTTGATAAACATTGTTTATTTAATATTTTCTGGCAGGCTTGCAAGTTTTACAGTTACGAGCAGATTATCATTTTGGTTCGGACGCTGCACGCTGTAGACCCACGTATACAGACGAGGGGGATTAATTATTTTCAGCATTGTCGTAAAATCGTATTATATTAAATTATATTTGCATTTCCTTACAGATCAACGGAGCTTCTCAACCTGTGCGATAACTCCGCCGCTGCGCGTCGTATCGGTGAGTCAGAGATTACGCTTCAGTTTAATTTGAGGTAATGGATCTATTAAAATTATATTAGGTATGTATAGATATATATGATTCTACCTCACGTAAAGATACTACGATATAGATAAAAATAATGGCTCATAAATTCATTGCCTCAAAGTGGATAGAATATAATAGATCAGGATCGATATTTAATTGAGGATTATGTATAATTATTCCTTAATTTATTGTGCGCACGTTGATACGTTCACATTTTCGCACAGAGCTTGCAAAATAGAGCTCGTTATATATCAACGCATCAGTTAGTGACGTATTTCTATTATACGATAGAGACTAATTGCGAGATATATTATCTGTTTATATACAGAGAAAAATAAACATTTTACAGCCAAGGAAAGCACTTACTTATTTCATTTTATTTCTTTTAAGTAAGTTTTTCTTACAACAAAGAATATTTTTTTTACCAATAGTTTTCAAATATCTTGACACAAGTCTTTGAAAATCAGAATATTGTTTTGAGTAAATGTAATACTTAACAATGACTTTATGGTAGATTTGCGGATACATAACTTTATTAAATACTTAATCCACAAATCTTCCATAAGAAATCATTGTAAACATTAAATTTACTCAAAACAATATTCTGGTTTTCAAAGACTTTTGTGTCAAGATATTTGAAAACTATTAGTAAGAAAATATTCTTTGTTGTAAGAAAACTTACTTAAAAGAAATAAAATAAAATAAGTAAATGCTTTCCTTGGCTGTAGAGTAGAATAATTAATTATTTTTATGTGTGTGTATAACAATTTATAAGAATATTTCGCGGATATATAACAAAAATGATAGAATAGTTCAATTGTCTAATGTAACTTTAATCATCTACTGTCTTAATATTAAACTAAATAATTGAAACATGACATAAAGCTTAAATTAGTTAAAGTCAACCGAATATAGTTTATAATTTTATGCAGCGGCTTTTATATTATGAAGTGAAGTAGTCTGCGATTTTACATAATGGTTCTGGGATTAAAGTTATTTGAGACTTCGTGGATACAAATTTAAATCCCTTAAGCCGCAGGGTTGCATAATGCACGTATAAGCATTAATGTGCTTTTATTGCATCTTTCGATCCTTACTCCGCGCGGTAAAACATTTGGCCGGGTATGAAAGAATTTAACCGCATCATTCATACGTATAGTCAAATAATAAACGCGGGACGCGAAATATAATGTTAATGTCTATGTGTTTTTGTTTCGCGGGATTCCGTTCGACGGACAAACTCAAAAATAGCGAAACAAGAGGAACTGCGACACAACAGTATCGCGTGTACGTTCTGTATCGTGCGCAGTAATGCAAGCTACGCAAATATACATGTGAAATGCATAAATACGTCACTCACTTATACGTTTTTCATATCGCGTAACTGAATGCAATATGTATATTCCTCTTATGCTCAAATTTTTCACGCGGAAACACAAGCAGACGGTGAAATAAAAGTTTAACCAGAAAAGTTTTCTATGACCGCCTGTGTAAATATCGCGATACCGAGAGATGCCTGATATATAACGGGCTGTAATTTGTTCGTTTTAAGATTTAAGAGAGATATTTGTTACGAAGCTGCATCAATCATTCTGATTTTGCATGAAATATGTCATCTAACTGATGCGTATGAATTTGTAGGCGGCTTTTCCATAATGGGCAAAAGTCTAATTACAGAATTCTTTAACCGCTTTAGTGCATTAAATATTCTGTAAAACAGCAATGAA